TTTTTAAACTACTAATATCCCCTAATTTGTTTTCTTTTTGTATTTCCTTGATAAATAGCTAACATACATTGTGCCAGAAACTATTCTAGGCTTTTTATATATACAATTCACTAAATTATCTCAATAACCTTGAGTAGAAATTAATACTAACTCCATTTTCTAGTTGAGGAATATGAGGCATAAGACGTAAAGTAACTTGCTAAGGGTCAAGTGGCAGAGCCAGGATTCTATCTAGGCTCGCCAGCTTGAGAGCTAGGAAATCTGCTCAATTATCTGTTACTGTCGTTTCCTGAGAATGGAACTCCCTGAAGGTACAGACGTGTAGAGCCAACCAAGGGTGGTAACTGTGGGGGACCAGCCTCAATACCACTCACAGGACATCCAAAGTCTGGTGGTGATGAAGGAATGAGAAGAGAGAGGTTAAGACTGCCTAAAGAGTGGGGGCCAGGTGGTTAACTGCAAAATGAAGGCTGCAAAAGGCTCAGAGTTCTGGTCTCCACACTATTGAGTACAATCATTTAGATCTAAGAAGCCGACGTTTAGGGCAAAATGGTGAAAAGGGAGGCAGTGTGTCATATGCGTAATCTATAGCAGTGGTGGTTTAAATGAATCTCCTTTGTGCTGAAACAGCGTATCTTTAACTTATCACAGTAGCTGGTGGGAGCGGGCTTAACTAGGAGGCTGCATGTCTGGCCACAGTCCAATGCTTCGAAGGAGTGTCTTTCTCCTTGAACACAGTGTTTATGGATAAGAAAGCAAGTCTTGCTCAGAGCACGGAAACATAATGGCGATAAGGCTTTCCTCCTCCCACAAGAGGCCTCTTGTGGCTGTGCACAACTTATTGTCCCATATTTTTATGGCCAGTTTATACAGGCACCCCATAAGCCTTTCCCCCAACAGTAACTAGGCTCTGTTTTAACAAAAAAATTAAGAGGTTTTCTACGAACTTAATTTAATATTACATTTAGTGACACCACATGACGAGTTAGCATTCCACTGATGAAGAGAGTAGCTTTCCAGTTTCTATCCATGATGTTCAATCCCTAACTCTCAGAATACTGGAGTCATTCCTTCAGCAAGCAGAATTGTGCTGGCAGACATTCAGTAAAGGTCTACTACGGTGCTGACAATAAGCACGATGCACCTGAAAAAACTGGGAGTTAAGAGTCCTGGTCCCAGCTCTTCTGCATCTGTTACTTGAAGGTTGCTGGGATTAAATTTTAAAAAGGGGGGGGAAAAATAGAAGTGCTTTAAATTAAAACTGTACAAATGTAAAGGATTCCTAACTATTCTTTCCTGAACCTAAATACACTCACTCATTTTGCTAGAGATGACATGTTTAAACATGGCCAAAAAAAGCAAGAAGGGAGACAAAACAACACCCGTTTCATGCATCCTCCTAAGACCATTCAGATTATGATACTGCTCAGTAAGTTTTTCTTCCTTATTGAGATTAAAAACACTGTTGTCAATAAATGGGACCGGGTGTGGTAGCTCACGCCTGTAATCCCAGCACTTTGGGAGGCCAAGGCAGGTGGATCACTTGTGGTCAGGAGCTCAAGACCAGTCTGGCCAACAGGGCGAAACCTGGTCTCTACTAAAATACAAAAATTAGCTGGGCATGGTGTCATGTGTCTGTAATCCCAGTTACTCTGGAGGCTGAGGTAGGAGAACTACTTGAACCCCAGGCGGAGGTTGCAGTGAGCTGAGATGGCGCCACTGCACTTCAGCCTAGGTGAAAGGGTGAGACTCTGTCTAAAAAATAATAAAAAGCTGGAATGACTACACTGGATGGCCAACATTAGCAATGAATCTTAATTTTTGACACCAAAACTCTTTCAGGACAAATATTCCATCAAAAACCTTATGAAAGAACATGGGTCAGACTGTCAATTTCACCAGTAAGGATATACATTGAAGCTGATGTGAATTTGCATGTTACAGCAAATGCTGCAGGAAACACTGGTGGTTTCAACCATTTTACTGACTGGTGAGTAGCTATACTGGCATCTTCCTGTAACTTTTTTTTTTTTTGAGACAGAGTCCTGCTCTATTGCCCAGGCTGCAGTGCAGTGGCACGATCTTGGCTCACTACAACCTCTACCTCCCAGGTTGAAGCAATTCTCCTGCCTCAGCCTCCCAAGTAGCTGGGACTACAGGTGCCCAGCCCACCACCACGCCTGGCTAATTTTTGTATCTTTTTAAGTAGAGACGGGGTTTCAAACATTCTTTACAGAGGGAAATTTCATATAACACATTTGGGCCAAGTTTCTGTCATGTCAGCTGTTGCAGAGGCTGAGGCTGGAGGATTACTTGAGGTCAGGAGTTGGAGACCAGTCTAGGTAACACAGTGACAACCAATCTCTGAGCCAAGATCGTGCCTCTGCACTCCAGCCTGGGCAACAGAGTGAGACTCTGTCTCACAACAAAATCAGGCCAGGTGCAGTGGCTCACATCTGTAATCCCAGCACTTTGGGGGCCTGAGGCGGGTGGATCACAAGGTCAGGAGTTCAAGACGAGCCTGGCCAAGATGGTGAAACCTCGTCTCTACTAAAAATACAAAAAAATCAGCCGGACGTGGTGGCGGGTGCCAGTAATCCCAGCTACTCAGGAAGCTGAGATGGAGAACTGCTTGAACCCGGGAGACGGAGGTTGCAGTGAGCCGAGAAGGCGCCACTGCACTCTAGCCTGGGCAACACAGTGAGACTCCGTCTCGAACAAAACAAACAAAAAACAAAACAAAACCAAACAAACTCACAGATGTCTCCTTAGAATGATGGTCCCACAATGTTCAGTAGA